CCGATCTGGTAGAGGGTGCGGACATTAAACGCAGGTACGTGAAAGGGGGATTACAGCTTCAAAAATCCTGTAACTTCTGATTGTTTGGACCTGTTGGTAAGACGTTGGGTGATATCTGATGGGTCTTGTAAACAGCAGGCGTTTGGGATTACTCGGGACTGAGAGGAAGAAGTACGCAGATGGGAATGAGGGTTTTCCAACTGGGTGCCTAAGACTTTAGGGCACGATATACTTCGCGGTAGCCTACACCAACGAAGGGGTTTTTCTTTGGGAACCCTAGCCGGAGTCTTCGACTCAAAAGTTTGACTCACAATGCAGTGGGGCGGAAGTCCCGCGTGGGAGCGTGAACGAAGCACCCCTGTGGGAGCTCCTGGAGACCTGTCACGCAAGGCCTTTGAATTCCGATTAATTGTGTTGTTTGCTGGTGTGTTGATTATCGGTCCGATTTTCGAGATCGGCCCTTAGTTTCATGCACCCAATGAGACAAGCCGAACGTGGACGGGACAGCACCTTATTGTCTGGGGGGGTGCCCAGCTTTAGTGGGCGTTAGCTGTCTAGTGGAGTGCGAAGACTTCTCCCACCGTCGAAGGGAAGCCCCCAGGTACCCCGCTCCTACGTCCATCTAGCGGGGGGGGGGTTGACCGGTAAACTGCCCCCCCACCGTGTTTATTTGCTGGAGTGACCTCGCCAGGGGCGGGTGTGGATAGAAGAAGGAAGACAGGAGGTGCCCAAGCAGCTGGCCTTGTGAGATTGGTCTTTATCTATTTTCTACCCATTGACCTGTCAAGCATGATTGGATCTGCGGCTGTGAGGAGCCATTCTGTATAACTCTAATACGCTCACACAACAACGAGTCAGGTTCGAAACGATTCTAAACGAGTCATAACCCAATAGGCTATTGCTGAAATGAGCGAGCTGTGATNGTGATGAACGCCAAAGGCTTGCAGTGATGCGTTTTGCTATATTGTACATGGGTAAGATGAAAACAGTTTGACCAGATGCCTGGTGTTCACGTGGGTAATGACTCTGTGGGGCCCGGAGTTTGATAGTCAATTGGGTTAATTTATTCGTACTGCTGATGAGAGCTAACCAGGTAGAAACAGGCATACAATGCACTTCTTTAGCTATTTACACGATGAAATCCACTTCATTATCGAGGGAAATCTTCCAATATTTTCATGAAACGGAGAGAGATGTAAGCGCTTGAAAACACGTGGGCACCACATCGCCGAGGACTCAATCGGAAGCCAGCGCGACAAATCACAAAAGAGACTATTCTGCTAGTAAAGCATCCGGTAATTTAGTCTTCAAAGTAAACAAGGATGTTAACCACCGTGAATGACAGACCCGTTTCGTCTTAGTTGGCCCTCGTCGCAACACTTCCAGTTGGATGCCGAAACCCTTGAAAACACGGACAACAGCCAATAAATTGAGTGCATGGGTACATACAATGAACATGACATTCTCGCGTGGTTCATGCGAACATACACACACCAGTCTCTGCGTAAGGTTCCGCCTGGGGCACAAAAGAGGACGCACTACCTAAGAGTCCCAATAAGAACGAGACAGATATCTAATGCTCTTGGTCTGCTATTTCACAAAATATTCACCAAAAATAAAACACCAAAACACTGGCGATTTCTTCAGTAAAATTTAAACAGAATTCATCACCCAATTTTACTGAATTCTGTGGTTTATCAATCAACTGATGTTTTATAGAATGTGGTTGAAGACATGGTATTTTTAACTTCGAGCGCAAGCAAATAATTTCGGTAAGCTTTGCGTAGAGTCCCAAAGGGGGTACTGACCAATACAAAATGTTTAAGTATACATCCATTGTATACAAATTAGAAAATATAAAACATCACTACTCACGGTGGCATTTGGCCCCAAGCTGCAGTTTTTGCAAATCCTTTTGTAGAGCGCTGTTTAGTCACAAACAAATCGGCAGGTAGTTCTTCCAGAGATTTTCCTTTGGTAGCCCACAAACGTCGGGCACGTTCTTCCAAAGTCCCGCCGCATTTAAGACCCAGTGCGAGCAAAGCGGATTTTAAACGATCCAAACCGAGCGAAGCCAACTCTTCCCAGGCCGTGAATGCGGTGAGATCTAAATGTGCACCCCCGTGAGTGAGAGCTGAGGCTGCCTCGCGTCCCCAGCCGTTAAACGTGCCTTGGGACCACTGAGCGTCGAACTTTTCCAATGCCTCCTTTGTTTCCTGTTGTTTGGTAGACATGGGAAATGAAAAAGAAAAATGAACAAGTGCAGTTAAACCACCCGAAGTACCCCCACATGTAAAGTACGAATCACAGATTTTAAACTGTGCCCTAAGCGGTCAAGATTGGTTTTCTCTTGGAAGGAAGAATGAAAATTCGAACCCCCAAATATATATATATATATATATATATATATATATTACATCGACTTGTGAACAAGCATGGTGCCAACGCCACAACCATATTAACAATAACAATAATACGGAATAGGTGGAATGGGGTACAAAGCAGAGATACGTGCAGCTCTTAACTACTTCCATCTGATCACCACAGAGGGTGAGTGCAGGCACGGGCTCCTGCCAGTCTTGTACAAGCACTTTGCACTTGGATGGTGCAAAGCACATACAATACCCCCAAAAGTTAAATCTTCATCGATGAAGTCAAAGATAATATCGATTGAGTTTCATACTGCTGTATGACACCCTACTTACCACTTCCAAATCGACCAGAGGTCTTGCACGAGACATGAAATCCTCTAAGTAACTGAGTAAATCTTCCAAGTATCTGAAAGGAAAGTGTTTCACTCTCAAAAGTAAGTGGTTAGAAACGTACGTTTTGTAAGCGATTCCTTTCTTATCGCGAGAAATATCATATAGACGATCGAAGAACGAAATGTAGGTTAGATAATCTATGCGCTATTTCATGAAGAAGCCCAGTTTATTGAAGCAAACAGATCACCTTACCGGCATTCCTTTCACATTGAGGTATTTTTTGTACACGTCGTGAAGATCCAAGAACCGGCCATAACCTTCTTCGTCTGTGAACTCAATTAGTGTTGCACTAGCTTCCTCCGGCTTTTCACGCATTTCCTTATACTTTTCAAAATCCGCAGACATGGGCACTGCAATCTTCAAGCAATAAAGTCATATATAGCCAAAAAACAAGTACCTCGCCAGGATATTTGGCATAGAAATCCTTTATGTTTTTCAAACGATTATAGAACTCGTTGAATTCGTTCGGACCAGAGAGTGCTTGTATGTCCACTTTTCGAAGACTACGGAAAAAGCACACAACAAAGGGCGGAGTGTAGAGCAATTGCACAACAACCGATATAAACGCGAAAACCACATGCTTTTTTGAGTGCTAGCGGTTCGCCAGTCTTTGGACGCAGTTGCTGTTATAATGCACAGAATGTCTCGATAATGAATTGATCACACGACCGACGATGAATTTCGGCCGATAACAATCACACTGTACACAAACAATGTGAAAGAATTCAAACATCGTTCGAAAACCATGGTTATTCACATTATAGTAGGGCAGACACGGAAGTGTTATGCACAAGACGATAAGCCGTCCTGTTTGATATGAATCATTTTGATTGGTTACTATTTCCTTACCAATCACTCGCTTTGTGTTATTTTTGAACAGACTGGCTACCCTGAAACGATTTTTTCGCGGCGGCAGGGAGGATGTAAACACTAACTTAATGACAGTTATATCGCACAAATAGCCTTAACGTGACATCAAAATGTTGGTATTGAATGGGGGGGGGCTGGAGAAAAACTGCGCGACTTGAGGTACGCAGATGACTTCCGTCCATTCGAATGTATGGGGGGTATGCAAAGTGCACTTGAGAGACTGGTACGTTCCATTGCTCCATTGAGTATGCATTTTGCACCTTCAAAAAGCAGAGATTCTGCAAGTCTGGGTGTCCATTGGTCCTACTCTTAAGCTGGATGGTCAGGAGTTAGGTGAAGTTGACTGCAGTAAAGGAGATAGTTACACGCATTACCCAGGCTCGAGAGCCCTACGTAGCACTGAAACCTTCGGTGATGAAGTGGCGTTTTATTGAAGTTGAAAAGTCGTGCGTATTCTGCCACCACATGGTCAGTACTGCTTGACGGTTGTGGGACCTTGATTCTGCGATTAGAGGACATTCATCGCATGGAGATTTTCGACAATCGATGTTTACGTAGTTTGGCCAAGGTGGGACGGAGTGTACATGTTAGCAGCCCATGTTAGTAACCGTCGTGTTTGGGATTTTATCCAGTTAAAATTCCCTATCTTATCGAATTCAGATGGATAAGCTTCTCTGGTTAGGACACGCATCGCGCATAACCAGGTGTCGCCCATTGCACCCCGCCTTATTCGCAGTCATTGCGTCGGGCTGAAGAAGATCACATGGAGATCAACAGATGATGCGGAGACGAGTAGTTGTTAGGACGGAACTCACAGAACCCAGCAAGCCGTGTACGGATCCGTGTCACACAATAAACACGCTCGCGACGCCCAAGGCAAGTGGGGTCCGGATAGGATGGCTATAGAACGAATCAAGCTGTTATCAGATCGACCAATCGGAACGTCAAAGATAAAATGTTTGATGCGTCACCAGGCCGTTCCCTTACACCCAATTTACCCACTTGCATTTGCTTATGACATCGTGACCATAGAATGCACTCTGACTGTTGTCTCCAGTCATGTTCACTATCCCGGGTACCGATCATATGTCTAGGCAGAACACAAGAGGAATGAGGAAATATATCCAGCATTAGGTAGAAAGGGTGTCCCTCGTCTTGCGAGTAGGGGCCCAAAAGACTCCGTAACAAAGTGGTTGAAGATACTGAAGGATATGGCATAAGAGCAGACAGCAGTGGCGTTTTTGCTCCTACTTCTTATCCAGATATGTATGTTTTGTCGGAACTTTTAGTCTGTGTTGACCATAGATCTTCTCTTTCTCTCTTACTCAAAAGAAGCCCAATCTGTCTACCTCAAATTCTCATTTGGCATATGTACATCGTGAGGTTGGCAGCGATCAATGTAGTTCACTTCACTGTATTCTGCTATACGACGACGATGATGATGATGTACGGGACGTCAGGCCGCCCCAAAAACGTTTCTTAACTTCACGATGAAATTAACACATTTCGGTCGATCTTTTTGTCTTCGTGTCAATCGTTCAGCTCCTTATTGCAGATGTGGTGATATCGTGGGTTCAATATGTTAAACTCGACTACTGTAAATTTGGTGCTGTTTTCTTACTCTCCTGTGCATGCTAAAGCTTCGGTACCAATGTCGTTATATAGTTTACAATAGTAAACAGCCGAAAAAGGGATTTCATTATCACAAGGATCAGCGATGCACCTTCGAAAACCACCTTATGGTCAAGCAATCCATAAGCTAGTTACTTTGTGCGCATGCGTGTGTCACGGTGACGACCGAAATGTACAATCCACTCGAGTCTAGTGCTTTGGAGTGTATGGCTGAATCGATAAACTGTGGATTAGGTATGAAGATAAAGTCCGAAGGATAGTCAGCTCAAATCAATAAAAACCAATTATCCCACACCGCTACTCACAAGTAATTATGAGTCAAATGATAAATCCACAACGTTTGGAATACCAAGAGGTGCAAGATAACCGTTAGCTTCTGACAATTTGCCACTGTGAAACTGTTCAGCGCTCCGCATGTCAATAAGGACATATCCTCATCAACGCCAGGTCAAATTAATGGTAGACGGCTTTGCTGTTGAGACACCAATTACTTCTTCAGGGCGAACCGCGAGATGTTCCTAGTTTTCCTGCCAAGTCGTAGTTATTCACAGCTATGTTTCCTCCCACCGTGCACTAAACATGAAACAGCAAGAGCGATTTTAACTGACATACAGCTCTAACTTGTACGAAAATCAAAAGCTAAGAGATAATGACAGGTGTAGTAACGAAAGACTTGAATAAGTTTAAATGATTACGACAGTGACTTACCCATCTTTGTCTTCATACATATCTTTCAATTCCCGTGTTAAATCGAGATATCGCTAAGAGAGAAAATAAAATAGCTACCACACTTACATCATACATCATGCGTAGACGAAGTTCTGAATTAAGTTTTTCTTTGTGCTAAAAAGACAAAATGAGTAAGCGAAAACTGTGGCTTACAGTATTTCCTTGGTACATCATTTCCTTAGTTAGCTCATTGACCAATCGTTCACGCTCCTCGTGATAACGACGTTGCTGTTCCAACACAGTTTCCATGAATGCAGCTACATTTTAAAAAAAATTGAGAAAATTTGATCCCAGCGTAGTGTCTCAAATCGAAAGAAAACTCGTGATGAAGAAACAAAACTCAGAAAGAGGCCACTTCAGTGAATTTATATAAAATGCGATAAAAATGGAAACGCAGCCGGTCATGTCACCTTAGAAACCTCCTGACGATAGTTTCAGTTTTAGAAACCATTAATTATACGTTTTCGTGCGCCGGTTGTCTTTTGGCTGTCCATTTGGATAAAAGACCAGATTGATGATTGAAATGTTGAGGGCAGAACTGAAGCGCTTTGGTGCAGACGTGGTTTCGTTGAAACTGAAAGGTCGTGTATACTGCGTGTCGTGTATAACACTCTTTGTCTACTGCATATCGCTGTATTCACATTTCTCTTTTATACGTTTTAGCCTATATGCCAGGGTTGTTAGAGGAATAAAGCCTTACATCTCTGGGCTCTCAATCTTCTCTCTCTCTCGAGCAACTACCGACTGTTGTCATCTCGTATTCAGTACATAACAATTTATTCGTCTAACAAGGGATCGGCCTTATCGACCGGAACGCTTCGACGCGGATCCAAGTTGTCCCTCAGCCGCAAAAGTCTGGAATCATTGGTTTCGCACATTCACCTTGTTTATCGCCAGAGCGGCAAAATTAGATGACGAAAAGCTAGAGCACCTCAGTAGATGCGTTTCGCCCACCGTTTACGAGTATATTGCGGAGAGTGAAACGTTCCAATGCGCCGTGACGATTCTAGAGAAGCTTAACATGAAACCGAAGAACGAGGTTTTTGCTCGACACATACGGTCTACCAGTAAACAGGAGGTAGGTCAGAGTCTTGATCGGTTTATGCAGAAGTTGAAATCACTTGCAAAAGACTGCAACTTCGTAGCCGTCATGGCCGAGCAAAACCAAAACAACGCCACACGAGATGCTTTCATCAGTGGAATGCAGTCCAGTAGCATCCGCCAACGCCTCTTGGAAAACCGGACACTAGACCTAGAGACAGCATACGACCAGGCTAGAACCTTGGAGATGGCATATCA